AGGTGGAGGCGGCTTCATCTGCCTGGACCCTATGCTTGTGGTGGGAAGTAACTTTGAAGCAAAGTTTATTGTTCCTTGGTTTGCTTTTGAGACAGGGGTCTCATGTAGCCCAGGCTAGCTTCAAATTTCCTGTGCAGCCAAGGATGGCCCTAATCTTTTTGATTTGTTAGAATAAAGGATTCTCGCTCTTTTCCTTTTCTCTTTGTCCTTTCTTTTTTATAATTTCCTTTCTCTGTCTTGACCTCCCTTTCTCTTTCTCTCTCTTGCCCTCACTTTCACTCTCTTTTCAGCTAGGGACACCCCCACCTCCAGGCACCCCTGATGTCCAAACCAGAGAGGCGGGACAGTATGGCTCCAGACAGTGGGGGAGTTTGACAAGGAGAGCGGTATAAACTGCTGGGCTGTGAGAACGCGCCTCCCTCTGCTAGCCATGTTTTCATTAAGCCTGGGAGGGAGTTCAAGGTGTGCTGCCATTCACCCAGGGCGTGGGAACTGGCTGGAGGTGCACCGAAGCATTTTTGGAATGAAAGAGAGACGTCACTACCTTGAGGAGCCAATGCCACAGTGTCGCCAGGAGAAACCCGACTATATAGAGAGCCATTCCAGGGGAAATGTCATCCTGAGGCTATCAGATGGAGCTTTTCTTGTTCCCCTCCTTCCTTCCTTCCTTTTCTCCTTCTTTCCTTCCCTCCTTCCTTCCTTCCTGATATCTTCCATGGAAGCCAGGCTAATGCTCCCCAACTGTGTGCGGTGGTGATCACACAGGTTCACCGCTCGGGACCCTGAGGCAGGAAGATTACTGTTAGTTCCAGGCCAGAAAGACCCTGTCTCAGAAGCCAAGGGCTGCTACCAAGTGTGGAAGCTTTTCAAAAGCTGGTGATGTTGCTGGAGAGGCTGCTCAGCAGATCACACCGCTCTTTCAGGGGACCTGAGTTTGGTTCCATGTGCTGGCAGCAGGGGCCTCACAGCTGTCTGTAATTCCAGCTTCAGGCCACACAACTCCCTCATCAAGCCTTCGTGGGCACCTGCAGGTTCTCTCTCTCTCTCTCTCTCTCTCTCTCTCTCTCTCTCTCTGTCTTAAACACACACACACACCACAGAGAGAGAGAAACATAAAAAAAAAAAAAGCCAAAAAACCAAACACCTATCATGCCGGCACTCAGGTGGTAGGGGCAGGAGGATCAGAAATCCGAGGTTGTAGCTGGAGAGATGGTGGCTAAGAGAACTGGCTTCCCACATTTTGGCTCACAACCATCTATAACTCCAGCTCCAGGGGATCCGAGAACTCTGCCAGCAACAGGCACACACACGCTTGGTGGCATTCACACATATGAATAAAGATAAGCATTTTAAAAACCATTTCTATACTTAAAAAAGCTTAAGGCCGTCCTTAGCTACACAGTCTGTTGGAGGCTAGCCTGGGCTATACAAGACCCTCCCAAAAGTGTCGCATGCCATATCCTGCTCCCTCCAAACCAGAGCCGCTGTAGCATCTTGTTGTTTTCCTTCACCATCCTGTGGGTGGCTGAGTGCCCAGGCTTGCTTCCCCTGCTCAGGATTACAAAAGAGAAGTATGGTAAGTGTTGCCAGCCAAGGAAAAAGTCAAAGTTCAAGAGCAGAGGCACAATTTCTGCTGAACCCCAGTTGCTCTTACGACATATTTCAGCCAGGAAATCCAGATGGGGGTGGTTGGTGCACACACCCCCAAGTGAAGAAATAATGGCAACAACTCTTTTCGTTGTTGTTGTTGTTGTTGGTTGAGGCTGGATTTCTTTTTTTTTTTTTAAGATTTATTTATTTATTTTATGTACATGAATGTTCTATCTGCATGTATACCTGCACACCAGAAGAAGACATCAGATCCCCGTATAGATGGTTGTGAGCCACCATGTGGTTGCTGGGAATTGAACCCAGGACCTTGGGAAGAGCAGACAGTGCTCTTAACCACTGAGCCATCTCTCCAGCCCCGAGGCTGGATTTCTTTATGAAGCCCAGGCTAGCCTCAAAGTCACTGTGTAGCCAAGGCTAGTTTTCAACTCATAGCGGTTACCTTGTGTCAGCCTCCCCAGTGTTAGGGTGACAGGCTTGAGCCACCACACCCAACAGAATTAATGCCATTACAAACTGAGGAAAAGGGCTGAGAATATAGCCTGCTGCAGAAATTTAATAAAGATCTCTTTCTTCACGTGTTTATGTAGAGTGTGTGTGTGTGTGTGTGTGTGTGTGTGTGTGTGTGTGTGTGTTAGCATATTATAGAATTTGGATGATTAAAGAACAGCTTTTGAGTGTTGGTTCTCTCCTCCTACCATGCGGGTCCTGGGGGTCAAATTCAGGTCATCAGTCTTAGCAGCAAGTGCCTGCACACACCGAGATATTTACAAACCCTGTTGCCCTATTTTGATTGCTTCGTCGTTGTTGTTGTTGTGTTTTGTTTGTTCTGTTGGGAACCAGCAAAAGAAACTTACTCTACCTACTACCGTTTCATTTTCAGACTCCATTTAACCACAGCAAGAAACTAAGTTCAAGATCCCAGGCCCTAGGGGAGCTGGGGACTTTCCAACAGCTGAACAGCTTGTGTTGTAAGAAAACAGGTGTCTGAGTCGAGACATCTCAGGGACAATTTTGTAAGGAAACAAACTGAGTCCAGGCATCTCAGTGACAAGCTCTCCACCTTCCTGGCAGAGTCAACTAAGTTCATGTTCTCAGGCCCAGGGGCCTGCTCCTATCCTTTGGTGGAAGTGCCCTTGCTCAGTCCCTTATGTCAAACTATGATTGGACAATGCTACAGCTCTCCAGACTCCCCATCACTTTATGGTTTCATTCTTTAAATATCCTGTATAATATCCCTTCAGGGTCATAGTTCAGCCCCTGAGTCTGTTCTGTGGCCCTAATTGATCAGTAATGGCTTGGTTACAATAGATTTTTGTCACCTGCATTGACCTGCTGTTTGAGTTAGGTTGGATTAAAGTCAACCTCACAACAGTTGTAGTAATTGTTTTTTATTTTTTATTTTTTTGATATAGGGTCTCACTGTGTAGCCCTGGCTAGTGTGGAATGTCCAAGGTAGATTAGACCATGCTGGCCTTGAATTCACAGAGATCCACCTGCCTCTACCTCCCTAATGCTGGGATCAAATGCATGTGTCACTGTGAGAGGCCTTTCCTTTTTCTTTTTTGGTTTTTCAAGGCAGGGTTTTTCTCTGTGGTCCTGTCTGTCCTGGATCTTGCTCTGTAGACCAGGCTGGCCTCAAAGATCCCCCTGCCTCTGTCTCCTGAGGGCTGGGATTAAGGATGTGTGCCACCATGCCCAGCATTCTCCTCTCCTCATGAGACAGGATCTCATGTTTCTCACACTGGCCTTAAACTTGCTATGTACACAGCCTAGGGTGACCTTGAACTGCCTCCATCTCCCAAGTGCCTGCTACACATGGTTTACGTGGTGCTGGGTACTGAGCCCAACTTTGTGCATGCCAGGTAGGCACTCTAGCAACTACACCACAGCTCCAGCCTTACTTCACATATTTTAGGTGGCAATCTGATAGGATTTTATGTCAGCGAAATGTCTGCACAATCAAGGTACTGGCATACTTACCACCTCAACCCAGATGCCTGGGGCCTTGCTTTTCTTTTTAGGCAGTGCTAGGGATTGCACTGAGGGCCCCACGCATGCTCAGCCACTGCTCTCCCACTCATCCACACCCCTCATGCTGATCTCCCCTCTTTCTTTCCTCCTCCCCCTCATCTGCTCCTATTTTGTATAAAAAGACATCGTATTTTCTGACCCCCCTTCTCTCTCTTTGGGCTGGTATCTTTCCAGGCCTGATGTCCCAAGTCAGTCCTTAGGACTCATGGGGCAGAAGGACAAAAGTGCTACACAACTGCTGTGGCAAGGATGTGCACGTGCAAAGACAGACAAATAAGTGTAACAAATGAACAATAAGCAAGTTCAAGGCCATCCTCAGCTACATAGCTAAGTAAGTTCAAGGCCAGCCTGGGCTACATGAGATGGGGGTCTCAAAATGCCAAAATTGTTTTTCTTTCGAAGTCTTACAGATACTCCCTCAGATTTTGCACAGGAGGAAACTGAGGCACAGAGAATCATGACCTGTAGGACACTGGGGCCGTTGATAGAGGTCACATCCCCAGGGTGACATCTGTCCTGGGTTGATGCACTCTTACAATCTCCTTTGTTCTCACAAAGCCTAGGCTAGCCTCAAACCCTGCACAGTAGAGAAGGAATGTCTGCTCCAGCTTTCACCTTCTGGGCACTGGGATGGCATGCGCCACGACACCCAGTTTATGGGTTCCTGGGAATGGAACATAGGGCCTCATGCATACTAGGCCCTCTACCAGTTCAGCTCCCTCCGGAGTAAGCTCGGTCTTTGAGCCTCCGGGCACTTGGGAGACTGAGGCTGAAGACAGCCAAGAGTTGGAGGCCAGCCTAGGCTACATAGCGAGTTCTCTGCCCAGCCGCTGGGGCATATCTTCTGGGTGTGACACCTGGGGCGAATCATGGCTTGAACACATGGAACTTGCTCTCCTCAGGCCAGAGAGGTCGAAGGGAGACCTTGTCTCAAAACATTGGAAAAGAGTCTTCATTTGGCTCAGCGGATTAAGGTGCTAGCTGCAAAGCCTGGGAACCTGAGTTGGATCTTCTCAACCCTCAGGTTGGAAGACGAGAAGAGACTCTAGCAAGTTGCGTGGATTTGAGCCCTCCAGAGGCGTAACAAACCCCAGGTGTCACACCCAGATGTGCCCCCCGCTGCAGTGGAACCTGAGTGGCCAGGGGAGTCAAAGCTCAACCAGAATGCTATCTTAGCAAGGCTCCAGAAAACGGCAATGGGCGTAACTTCCCAGGCTCTGACAGCGCTCTCTGATAAGAGCCTGCAGGGGCTCGTTCGCGCCTGCGCGGTGAGATAAGGTGGGTGTGGTGAGACCGAGGGGGTGGGGAAATAGAAAGTCCAGGGGGCGTGGCTTGGTGTGACCACGCCCACCCGTATCCGGGTGCTCTGGGCCACCAAGATGGCGCTGGCTGTGGAAGCCTGGGTACCCGCTGCGTCCACAGCTGGGGGCCCGGCTCCGGGTACAGAGTAGTGCTGTTTTGGCCGCGGGGCTGCGCTCGAGCGTTCGCAGTTCCCCCGACCTCGGGGACACCTGCGTCTTCCTCCCCGGCGAGTCCATGAACTCCGTGTCGCCGGCCGCGGCGCAATACCGCAGCGGGAGCCCGGAGGACGCGCGCCGGCCGGATGGTCGCCGGCCAAGGGGACAAACCCGGATCCCGGATTCCAACAGCCTGGCACCTTCGGGGTCAGGCGTGGCAGCTCTCAGCTCATCTGGGACCGACCCCGCCGAGCCTGACGAGGTGGACAAGTTCAAAGCCAAGTTCCTGACAGCCTGGAACAACGTCAAGTATGGTGAGGAGGGGATGCAGAGGTCATGGGTGGCAGAGGGTCGGGACGAAGCGAACTAGACTTTAACCCTGTCCCGCGGACGATCCCACCCGGGGCAGTCACCCGCAGCTCCTCCGCCCTGCCCAGTCCAGGGCCAGGTTAGATGGGAATGGTTTTCAAGCCCCGCCCATTGCACCTGTTTGACCTTGGCCAGATTTCTTTGGTTTCCTGCAGTCTGTTAACTGCCCTGCGTTTGTAAGGTAGGTGGAATAGTAAACACAGAGCTAGCCGGTGGTGTTTCACACCTGTAATCCCAGCACTTGGTAGGCCGAGGCAGGAGGATTACCCAGGAGTTTTGGGTTAGTCTGGGCTATGTAATGAGTTCCAGGCTGAATTGAGTTCCTCATGAGACTCTGTCTCAAAAAACAAAAACAAAAACAAAAACAAAAAAACATCGGAGAAAGGGTCCTGTAGAGAAGGCTCAGCAGTTAAGAGCCCCTGCCGCCCTTCCGGAAGACTCGGGTTTAATTGCCCGTATCTACATGGCAGCTCACTCCAGTTTTAGGGGCTCCAACATCCTCACATAAATATACGTGCAGGTAAAATACCAGTGCATACTAAAAATATACATACATAGATATATGAAAAGGGCCAGTGAGATGCCTCAGTAGTTCAAGCCGTTTGCCACCAAGCCTGAGGACTTCAGCTCCATCCAGGACCCACACGGAAGGGGAGGACTGACTCCTGAAAGTTATCTTCCCTGCAGCCCTAAGTTGTGGTGCTTGTCCACGTATACACAGACCCACCCACAAAGAATAAAAACGTGCTTTCTGCGTTTTGCAACAAAAACCAACAGTCCGAATAGAATGACCCTGGCTTGAGTTGATAATGGACCCTTACGAAGAGGTAACTCAGTGCCCCCTGTGTTTTAGACAGACGTGGCATGGAGTTTTCCCAGCTGCCCCTGAGGTCCCAGCTAGGATCAGGCCACGACTGGGGGGTGGAGGACCCACTGCTGATCCGTGAATGCCTCAGGTTGCTGCGAGCTGCCTGTGTCTTCCCAGGTTGGGCAGTCAAAAGCCGGACCAGCTTCAGCAAGATCTCCTGTGTGCACCTGTGTGGGCGACGCTACCATTTCGAGGGAGAGGGTGAGGTGTCCAGCCTGGGACCAGGGTGGGAGAAATCGCCTAGGGTTCTCCTCCGTTACCAAGCTGACTAATTGGTTCTCGTAGGTGACATCCAGCGGTTTCAGAGGGACTTTGTATCTCGACTGTGGCTCACATACAGACGGGACTTTCCACCCCTTGCTGGGGGCAGCCTGACCTCCGACTGTGGCTGGGGATGTATGTTACGAAGTGGTCAGATGATGCTGGCCCAGGGCCTGCTCCTGCATTTCCTGCCTAGAGGTGAGCTGTGTGTGTATGCATGCTCGCTGAGAAATAGTGAGGGCCTTCTGGGTCCGCACTTCAAAATTGCTAGCAAACTGTAAGTGGAACAGCGCATTGGAATCCCAGTACATGGGCTGTTGAGGCAGGATTTTGAGCTACCGTATGAGTACAGTATGGGATACATAGTGAGTTTTAGGCCATTCAGGAATAAATAAGTGTGTGTGTGTGTGTGTGTGTGTGTGTGTGTGTGTGTGTGTATGTGCGCGCGCGCGCGTAAAACACAAACTTAGTGGTGCCTGCCTGTAAACCAAGCAAGCGTTTGGGGGAGGTAGGAAAAATAGAAGTTCATTTCCCTGGCCAGGTGATGGTGGTGCACACCTTTGATCCCAGAGCTCAGAGGTAGAGGAAGGTGGATCTCTATGAGTTCAAGATCAGCCTGGTCTACAGAGTGATTCTGGGACAGCCTAGGCTACACATAGAAAAACCCTGTCTCAATAAACAAACAACAACAACAAAAAAGACTATTTCCTGGACTACACAAGAAACTGTCTCAAAAATTAAATAATTAGGGAGGTGTTTGCCACCATGCCTTTAATCCCAGTACTCTGGAGGCAAAGGCAGGCAGATCTCTGTGAGTTTGAGTCCAACCTAGTCTACAAAGTGGGTTTCAGGACATCCAAGGTGTTACACAGAGAAACCCTGTCTTGAGAAACCAAAACAAACAATAAATACACAGGCTGGAGAGATGGCTCAGCTGTTAAGATCGCTTGCTACTCCTGCAGTGGACTCAGGTTTGATTCCAGAAACCCCAACTGCAGTTCCTGGGAATCTGACATCCTCTTTTAGAATCTTTGAGCACTAGTAGGTCAATTTGGAATTTACTTGAGTATCAGAATTATGAGCCAAATATGAGGAAGTTGGAAAGTTGTGCCCCAAACACACTACATGTTTACTAAATTTCATTTCTTCTGCAGACTGGAGGTGGGTGGGAAGCACAGGACTGGCTCCCTCTGAGGCGCCAGGCCCAGCCTCTCCCAGTCACCACCGAGGGCTTGGTCGTCATGTGTCCGCACGCTGGGCCAAGGGCACACTGGAGATGGAGCAGGATCATTGGCACCGTCAGATTGTTTCCTGGTTTGCTGACCATCCTCGGGCCCCCTTTGGTTTGCATCAACTAGTGGAGCTTGGGCAGAGTTCTGGCAAGAAGGCAGGAGACTGGTACGGGCCCTCTGTGGTGGCACATATCCTCAGGTGAGACCCGCTTCGGGGACGAGGGGAGCTGCTGGGGAGCCCCAGGGACTCATGCCTGTCTGCTCTTCTGCCCCCAGGAAAGCTGTGGAAAGTTGCTCCGAGGTTACCCGCCTGGTGGTGTACGTCTCTCAGGACTGCACGGGTGAGGCTGGGAACAGGCTTCTACCTGGAGCCAGTGCTCCCAAGGCACAGGCCCTCATTCCTCAGGGGTGAAGGGATGCTTGGGTGTTGATTCTAAGCACACCCTGTGGAGGTCAGGTCAGGATTCCCTCTCCTGCTTCTCTGTAGAACCTAAAAGTCAGCATGAGAAATTCAAGACAGAAGCCTCCTTTGCCCTTTCTCACGCCAGGCTCACTTTAAGAACAACCCTACATTTATTTATTTGTGTGTTTGGGGCGAGAGGCCTGTGCCAGGGTGCACATGACCTTGTGGGGAAGTGGGTTCTCCTCTGTGGGTCCCAGAGCTTGAACTTGGCAGCGGGAGCTGCCACCCATCGACCATCGCCCTGTTCGCCTTTACTTGCATCAGACCTATTCACTTTTAACTGTACAGGACTATTCTGATGTGTTGGCAAGTTTGGTCTCCTCAGGCTCATAACATGGCAGAGGAGTCAGGGACTCAGTGATCCAGAAAAATATGGGGTCAGCAAGATGGCTCAGTGAGTGAAGGTGCTTGGTGCAAAAGCCTGACAGCTTGGAGTCTGAGCCCTACAGCTGACTACAGAGTTGTCCTCTGAGCTCCAGTTGTGTGCACCGTGGCGTGTACACCGCCAGCATATGTGCGCACAGGCACACAGTAAGAATAGGTGCATTTTTACAAAAGGGCCAGACAGATGAAGGCTCAGTGGGTGGTGGTTCTTGCTGCTAAGCCCGGGGAAGTGGCTTGGATCTCCTGAACCTACATGTTGAAGGAGAGAACTGAACCACACATGACAAATAGAAATGAATTAATAAAAAAGCGCCCACAGCAGATTGCCCAAATGTTAGCTATTGCTTTCCTTCAGGCCAGCCGATTATATTTACATAGCTTTGTTTATGTTGAAGTAGTGGCTCTTGTACCCCAGGCTGGACTCAAAGCTACTATGTAAGAATTATGATAAAGACCTTGAACTTTAGATCCTCTTGCCTGAGCCTGTAGAGAATTGCAGTTCAAAAGAGGTCTTTTGATCTGAGTGTGGGGTGCTCACCTTTAACCCTAACATTTGAGGTGGAGGCAGTCAGGTCTTTGTGAGTTCCAGGATAGCTAGAGCTGCAAAATGAGACCCTGTCTCAAAAAGGGGGTGCCGGTGTGCTTTTATGTGGTGCGCGGAGGCAGCTCCGTTGTCTCTGAAGAACTGAGTTCCATCACCAGAGCCCAGGCATGGTAGCAGGTACAGACAGGCCATCTATGGGGCTCTAACCAGCCCCATAGCAAGCCTAACCCAACTGCTGAGCCTCAGGCCAGTGAGAGGCCCTGTTCCAAAAACAAGATGGGGTATTTCTGAGAGATAATATTCAAGGTTGTTCTCTGACCTCAAGAGTCCACACACAGGCATGTGTACCCATACACACACGTGAAAATGCACTGTGCAGGCGCACACGGGCTGGGTGGGGGTGGGGAATGTAATTAGTGGTAAAGGGGTTACATTGACACACAAGCTCTGAAACTGATCCCCGGCATCATAAGAAACAGTTTAAAGTGAGGCATGTTGGTGCCTGCTCAGAATCCCTGTTACTGGGATTATGGTTCAGCTGGTAGAGGGAGCAATTCCCTGGCCTTAGGTTTCATGCCAAACACGGCATAAACCTAGTTTGCTGGTGCACATCTATAATCTCAGCAAGTGAGGGGCCTCACAGTCATCCTGCCTATGTAGAGTTCTAGGCCAGTCTGGGACACATGAGCTCCTCAGGTCCTTGCTCACCCTCTCTGCTAATGGGCTAAACTCCACTTCCCCGATCATCTATGATTTGGTGCACAAAAAAGACATTCTCTGCTGATGAGGACATTGCTCACCAAGAGTTGCAAGGGTGACAGGGTGCTCCTAGGACTAGAAAGCCGGGTAGAAAGGTCGTCTGCTGTCCTGTTTCTGCAGTGTACAAGGCAGATGTGGCACGCCTGGTGTCCTGGCCAGATCCCACAGCAGAGTGGAAGTCTGTGCTCATCCTGGTGCCTGTACGACTGGGTGGTGAGAGCCTTAACCCCGTGTATGTGCCCTGTGTGAAGGTAAGCGCCTCTTGATGGGGCACCGCTGCCTGGGCTCCACACTTAACAGTCAGAGGTCAACCGTGGGTCTGCTTTGTCTGTGCTTTTCTGTGGTTATGTAAGTGTCCTGTATGGGTGTGCACACGCAGAAGTGAGAAGACAGGGTGCACACTCAGCTACTTTCTATTTTATTCCTCTGTGACAGGGTCTCTAGCCCTGGAGCCAGGGTCCCCAGTGCTATCCCGTTTCTGCCCGGAGTACCGGGTCACAGGCACTCGTGGCCTTGCGTAGGTTTTTACAAAGGTGCTGATGTTCTGAACTTAGTCCTTATGCTAGTGAGCAAGTGCTCTTATCCTTGAGTTATCTCCCCAGGCCCACCTGCTTTTATGAGACAATTATAGGCACATGCTACCATGTTTTTTTGTTTTTTAAGATTTATTATGTATACAATGTTCTGCCTGCCTGTACACCTGCATGCCAGAAGAGGGCACCAGATCTTATGGTTGTGAGCCATCATGTGGTTGCTGGGAATTGAACTCAGGACCTTTGGAATAGTAGCCAGTGAATGCTCTTAACCTCTGAGCCATCTCTCCAGCCCTGGCTACCATGCTTTTGACATAGGTTCTGGGATTGAACACAGTAAAACTAGGTGTGGAGGCATACCCCGCCCCTGAAATCCTGGAGGTTAAAGCAGGAGAATCTAGAGTTGAAGACCAGCCTGGCTACACAGGGAGACTGACTTAAGCATGTGTCTGTCCTCTTGGTATACCCTTGCACTGTAGCTGCTCTTTGGAGGTAGTGGAACAAGGAGGGAGAGAGAGGCAGGTGGACCCTCTGTTAGTTCAAGGACAGCCTGGTCTGCACAGTGAGACCCTGTCTTGAAAACAAAAAATGTAAAAAGTCGTTAGAACAGTGCTTCTCAACCTGTGGGTCATGAAACCTTTGGGGGTCAAACAGCTCTTTCCCAGGGGTTGCCTAAGACCGTTGAAAACTCAGATAATTATGATTCATAACAGTGGCACATTTACAGTTTATGAAGTAACAATGAAAATAACTTTATGGTTGGGAGTCACTACAACATGGATAATTATGAAAGGGTCGCAGCATTAGGAAGGCTGAGAGCCACTGGGTTAGGGATGGCTCAGTGGCCAGGACAACGCTCTTGGAAAGGACCAGAGTTTGAGTCATAGCGCACACCAGCAGCTCACACTGCCTGTAACTCCAGGGGGCCGACATTGTCTTCTGCTACTGCAGTCAGGTGCACAGGCCCACTCACAGAAACAGATTTATGGCCTCACTCCTCAATTCCAGCAGAGGCAGGTGGATTTCTGAGTTTGAGGCCAGCCTGGTCTACACAGTCAGTTCTAGGATTATATATAGGACCCTCTCAGAAAAACAGAAAATTAAATGTCTTGTAGGAAGTTGTGTAGCCTTTCTATAAGGTGTTCACAGCGACAGCTAAGGCTGTTTCCGCTCTAGAATGTCAGTGTGGTCAGGCTGGGTTGGTTGGCTTGATGGCTTGCTGCACTGGATTCCCGGGCTTCATCGACTCCAGGCACCTGCTCAGTTTGCTGTGCTCATCTGATGGCAGCCCTTTTCTACAGGAGCTCCTGCGCTTAGAACTCTGCCTGGGCATCATGGGGGGCAAACCTCGGCACTCACTGTATTTCATTGGTTACCAGGGTAAGCCACAGCCCCTTTCCCAGATCGGCCCTCCACCTTCCTCTTCCCCACGTGTTTACACTCCCCCCCCTCCCACCAGATGACTACCTGCTCTATCTGGATCCTCACTACTGCCAGCCCACAGTGGATGTCAGCCAGCCCAACTTTCCCCTGGAGGTGAGCTGGTGGCTTTGGGCGGGGGGCGGCTGCAGGTTTGGGCACAAAGTTGGGGTCCCTTAAACCTCTCTTTTCTGCCCAGTCCTTTCACTGCACCTCGCCCCGCAAGATGGCCTTTGCCAAGATGGACCCCAGCTGTACTGTGGGGTTCTATGCTGGGAACAAGAAGGAGTTTGAGACTCTCTGCTCGGAGCTGATACGGGTGAGCTGTACTCACGGGGTAAGTCTGAGTAGGTAGTGTCCCTGCCTCCCAAGTGCGGGACGCTGGCTCCACCCAGCCTTGGGACAGTGCACAGGGACACCCGTGCTTGACAGCCGAAGACAGCAAGGTGGACTTGTTCAGTCACAGTTATTTTGTCCACTACCAAGAGGCTCAGCCACCTGGGAGCTCTTCACAGGCTGGGCCACAATTAGCTATGCAATGTCCAACTGCTGCAGCTGGTTCTGGATGATCCTGACACCACTCTCCTCCATCCTCCTGCAGATCCTCAGCTCCTCCTCAGCCATGGAAAGATATCCCATGTTCACCGTGGCTGAGGGCCACGCTCAGGACCACAGCCTGGATGCCCTCTGCACCCAGCTTTCCCAGCCCACACTGCGGCTGCCTTGCACAGGACGCCTCCTCAAGGCCAAAAGGCCAAGCTCCGAGGACTTTGTGTTTTTATAGTGGGAAGGGACGGGGAAAGATGCCAGACTATTTATTTTTTTATTTATGTCATGTCAGGTATGGGATCTGGAACTCTGGTGGTGCTGCTGGACCCCTGTCCTCATGGCCTCCATCCTTCCCAACACAGCTGAGACCTTTCTAGGCCTGCAGTTGGGGATGTGCCCTTCAGCTGCCCCTGTCTGTCCTCAGGAGCCAAGGCTGGAGAGTGGGCTCCAGGGCACTCACTCACTCAGGGCTTGATTCCAGTTCTGTAGCCTGCACTGGATCATTGTTCTCACTGGTCCCAAAGTCCCTGTCTTGGGAGAACTGACTGGCTGCTGGGCAGAGGCTGATAAAGATGCAGACTTGAACGTGGCTGGGGCTGCTTGACATTTCAGCTTGTCCATGGGGAGACAGCTCCGGCAGCCTGTTTCCAGGCTTAGAAACAGCCAGTATCCTCGCCCGCAGGCATAGGTTGGCAGGAGGGTACAGTCGACAGCTTAAGTTGTAGAGGTAGCTTGGCTCCCTGTGGCCCTCAGGGACGGCTCTGCTGTTTCCTCCTTTGGCGACCCAACTGGCGGAAGTGCAGCCTTTTGGGGTTGAGTCCAAAGGCCTGCAATCTCTGTCGGCTGAACTTGTGATCTCCAAGTGTCACTGTGGGACCCAGAAGCCTGGCCTTCTTGCTCTTCTGCCTCAGGGAGGCTGGCTTCTCTGTGCAGGCTGTGTGTGCTAACTCCTCTTCCTTGGCTACTGGGTTCTCAGACTGGGGCCTCTTCCCATAGGCTCCATCTGGCATGGGCAGCTGTGCTTGTGTGCTGGCCTTGCCCTGAGACTTCCCTGTGGCCTCTGTGGGCATTTCCATTCTACAGGGGGAAAAGAGAAGTCAAGGCTTAGGTCAGCCTGCTGTTCTGACCAGGAAATGCTCCCCCAACCCTTTGCTCTTTTTGTCTGTCTGAGGAGGGGCTCATATAGCCTAGACTAGCCTTAAGCTGTGTACTCAAGGATGACCTTTAATTTAAGATCCTGTTTTTTCATTTTGTTTTTAAACGGGTGGGGTGGAGTGTTGAAATGGTCTCAAGCACTCTGCCTACTCAGCCCCAGTGCCAGGCTTAAGACAGTTTCCCTGTGGAACCCAGATGACCTCAGCTTTGGGATTCCCAGATGACTGTTAGAAATAGCTGGGCCGCCTGAAGCCACCATGTCCGTCAACTCCTTGAAACAGCTAACAAGCCTGGACGGTGCTTTTAAGATTTCATTTTGTTCAGGCTTGGGATGAGGCTCAGGTCCTTCAGTCATGCTAAACAGAATCTTCCTAGGCCTGGCAGCACATACCTTTAATCCACCCACTTGTGAGGCAGGCAGAAATCTCAGAGTTTGAGACCACCCTGGTCTACACAGAGAGCTCCAAGAGCCAGGACTACACAGGCCCAGTCTGAACACAGTCTTTACAGTCCATGACAGGCTGTTGCTTTGGAGCCCATGTGGCTTCATCAAACGCATCAAACTCATGAGCCCTGCCTTGCTTCCCCAGTGCTGGCAGGTGTGCGCTGCCGTGTCTACTTCCTCCCATCCGTGTTCTGAGTGTTTCATGCATAAACTCAGCTTTGAAGTCTGAACCATAAAGTCACCTCACCAAGAGGGACAGTGACTGCCTGGGGTTTGCACAGCGGGCTGTTGGCTCTGCGGCTGCTGCTACCCTCCCCAGGGCCCAAGCTTACTCTTCCTGGCACAGAGACTTGAAGATTTGCCGCTTCTTCCACAAGTTCTGAGCCTTCTGGTTGTACGCCCGCTTCTCCTGGATCTCTTCCTGCTCCGACCTGTGCAGGAGAGCTGTTGGAGAAGCTGTCCACACGGGCTCCCCTCTCCCCCACCGCCCGGCGGTCACCTGTACATGCAGGTCTTCTTGAGGGAACACCAGCGGTTCAGCTCCTTATCATCAGCTGCGAGGATCTGCATGGGAAAGACAAGATCTACTGCTATTCCTGGAGTCTGCCTCTGAGCCTCAGTCACTCAGCAGACATGTCCAGAGGTGGGGACACCTGAGTTCGGTGGGGGTTTTATTTTTTTCTTGAGGCAAGGTCTCCTGCCTTTACCACCATGCTGGCTTATTTTTTTGTCACTGTTTAGTTTGGGCTAGCCTGGAATTCACAGCAGTCTCCTCCCTCCCTCCTTTAGCCTATTTCAACTCTTTTCTTCCGGGGTCAGCCTGGAATTCCTAATCTTTCACACAGAGAAAGTTCACCTCCTCCTATTCTTTGGGGTTCCCTCTACTTTCCCTGCCCACCCTGGTCCCAACCTCCTCTGTGCTGAGCCCGAAGTCGCAGGGCACCACAGTGCGGTACTTGAAGCGACAGGGCAGGTCATCGATGATGTCCTCGTAGTCCAGTCGGTAGTACTCATCTAGGTACTCCTCAAAGGTCTTGTCCCCTGTGCGGGAGGCACACAGCCAAGTTACTGTGTGCTCAGGGCCCTGTGAGCCCCGCTGCCCAGCAGGCCCTGTGCTCACCAGGGTCAAATATGGGCTTCTCCTGCCCCACTGCAGCTGCAAATGGTGACTTGCGCTTCTTTTTGCCGGAGACTGGGGCCTCACGAAGCTTCTTCCGAGGTTGGCTGGGGTCATAGTCGGCGTCCATCTATCAAGAAGACCCGTTCAGATCAGGCTAGTCCTAAATGCCTCTGGAGGCTCCAGACCCCACCAGGGAGACTTACTGCTCTAAGGGTCTCACATTGCCCATGCTGGCCTCAAACACGCTGTACAGCCAAGCCTTGAGCGCTAGCTCTCAGATGGGGACACAGGGCTCTTTCATGGAAAGCCTGTCCTCTACTAACTGCACCTACTTGAACTCAGACCAGTGGCACTCACGTTGAAGTCGGGGTCCTCACAGTGCAGCTCCTGCTGGCCCCAGGCCCCATCGTGCTCAGGTCCAGCCCACGCATCCCAGTTCCAGTCATCTGCTTCCACACAGGCAAAGTGAGAACAGCACCTGGGCTGCAGACCCAACACTACTCCCCCAGCCTTGTCAGGACACGAACCTTCCAGGCCTTCCTCTTCCTCAAACTGTGGCTTCTCTTCCTCCGCAGTGCCGTAGAAGGCATCACCGAAGCATTTCTGCAAGGGAAGGGAGGCCTAAGGGGCAGCAGCACCCACACGCCTGCAGGAGCTCAGCTTCCCCATGCCAACAGCAGCACAACTCACCAACCTTACTGTTTGGTTATATGAGACAGGGTTTCATGTAGGCCAGGCTGGCCTCAAATTATGTAGCAGAGGCTAGCTTTGACATTATGATCCACTTGCCTTCACCTCCTGAGAGCAGTGATTACCCGTGTGAATGACAGGGTTTTTTTGCTTTGAAACACAGTCTTGTAGCCCAGGCTGGCAGTCCTTCTGCCTTAGATTCCCAAGAGCTGGGATTATAAACCCATGCCAACACATCCAAGTTTGTGGCTCCTAAGCCTTCCATGACCTAGCTCCTTGAAAGGGTCTCCTATGTGCTGGGACCAGCCATACCAAGCGCTGCCTGTTAGCTAGGCTACATTTGTCTCACACAACTACACTGTCACAGCTCTGCAGGATTTAGACCCTGCCATCGCCTGTGTGACAGGGCTCAAATGAGCTGTCGTCATTTGTGATGGGCTGAAAGGAAATTTCCTCCAATACCCTACCTACACTAGACATGGCACACATCTCTACTTAGCAGTATGGAAGCTGAGCCCAGAAGATCAGGAGGAGCAGGCTAGCCTGGGCTACAGAGAGGCTGGAGCTCAGATGGTAGGATCCTGTCCCAGTACACACAAAGCCCTGGCCCCACCCATCACACTATAATCCACATCTGGGGCCACACTGTGATGTAGTCCAGGGAGGCTGAAGCCGCACATCTCCATCACTACCCCAACCCTGAGTCTGTACAGGGATAGGTCAGATATACAGGAGGCTCATTACAAGGGGCTGCGCATGCTGAAGCCACAAAGGGCAGCAGAGAGACCCTGACGTCTACAGTGCTTGCTGAAGGAAAGCACTGTTGATTATGCCCTTTTTTTAACCTTTATTTTCTCTCAGAGTGTATGAGAGTTTTGCCATGTAAACCTAAGCCACATGCATCCCTGGTGCTCCTGGAGGCCAGAAGAGGGCACCAGATCCCCTGGAACTAAGGCTACCGTGTGGGTGATGGTAATTGAACGTTGGTTTCTTGAAGGACAGATGGTACTCTTAAAGGCTGAGCCATCTCTCTAGGCCTATTTGTCCATTTATTAAACACCTTCTTATGCTCAACCCTGAGCAGCTTCTTGTTGAGATTCTTAGAGTTACCATAGCAACAGCCACTGGCTCCTCCATTGAGAAAGCAAAGCTAAGACCTGAGAAGCACCTTAACCGGTAAGAAGGCAGACTGCTCCGCAAGGTCCCCAATTCCTTTTACTAAGCCTCCTTCCAGGACTTCCCAGTTTTGGCTATCAAAGCATCCAACCTTTTTTTTTTTAAGATTCTCAACACCTGTTTCCAAAACATGGTGCTATGTTTTCCCAGTACAATGAATGTTAATGCTCAAAAGATGAGTTTAAGGACTAGGGCTCAGCCACAGTGCATATGCTTACATAAAAAAGGCCCTGGGTTCTATGGCTCTATCCCAACATCACCAAAAAATACACAAGAACAAAAACAAACCTAGGGAAAAGTGAAATGGCTCAGCAGACAAAGGCACTTTAGTGTGACCCCTGGAGTCCCTGTGATAACTAGAGAGCCAGTCTCCACCCTACACATACGTGCCATGGGACATGCGACACCTCAACACATAAATGTCAAACACATTTATAGTAACTAGGTAAACTCAAGATCCAAGCCAGGCACGGTGGCGCACTGTAACCGCAGTTCCTGAGAGGCAGAGCTAGGTGCTAGGATTGAGGGCAGCCCGGATAATGGTAAGACTCTTGGAAAAACAAAGGGAATTACGACATCCCTGATAACATGGCAATGACGCAACTTGGTTTTGGTTTTTTTTTTTTTTTCAACCTTCTGAAGTGCAAAGACAACATGCACCAAGAGAAACTAATTTCTCTCCCTGCCTCTCTGCTGAGACAGTATCTCAGCCCAGGCTGCCTTAGGACTATGTAGGTAAGGATGACCTTGAACTCCTCACCCT